CCGTCCGCGGGCCAACCTCCCCCCGCGCCCCACGGCTCGTTCATGGGAAAGGCCTCGGGGCTCTCCGCAGCCAGCGCCCCGCCAGCCCCGCCGCCGGTCCCAGGGACAAGCCTCCAAGCCGAGCGAGGCTCCCTGCGTCCGCCTGCGCCCATGGACACGCGCTGCCCCCGCGCCGCAGGAAGCGCCTGCCGGGCACCCTCTGCCAGCACCACGCTGCCCCCCACCCGCGGCACGCGGGCCGAGGAGCGGAGCGGGTGGGCGGCCTTCCCCAAAGCAGCCCGTGCCCAGGCCGACGGCGAGCGGTGGCTCGAGGGCACGCGGGGCATCGCTTGCTCGGCCCTCTCCGCGGACGGTGGGTGGGAACGAGGCCGCCCTGCCTGGCCAGAAGGGGAACCGGGCCCCGCCTGGCGAAAGCGAAGGCCCGGCCTGAGGGCCGCCCCGCCTTGCCTGTGGCCCTCCCGGGGCCTGGAAGAGCCGCTCTGGGGGCAGAGCCCCGCCGCACTCCTGGCTCCTTTCCCTGGGCACACGGAGAGGCCGTGACTGGGCATGAGAACGAAGGGGACTCGGCACATGCTCAGAAGCATGTTCTCAGGCTGTTGTCAGAGGCGTTCCAAGGCTGAGCTGGACTAGCAGCAGGCAGAAGGGAGGGCCAGGTTCAGCGCTGCAGCATCTCCAGGCAGGGCTGGAAGAACTTCCGTGCGGAGCCCTGGCAGCAGCCGCCGCCTGCCGGTGTCAAGGGGACGGGCCGGACGGGCCAGGGGGTGCCAGCGCCGGCCTAAGGCGCCCCCCCCCCGGCTGGCAAGAGGAGTCCAACGTAGAACTGCCCGATCCCGCCCCCTGCTGCCCGCACGGCAGAAGGCAGCCCTGATGGGAGGGGCGGAGGGCGGGCGGGCCGCGGTTTCATGGGTTTCCGCCACAAGACACCTCCGTCCACGAAAGCCAGCGCTGCAGCGGCAAAGCACATTCCCAGTGCCAAAAACAACACACACTCCGCCGCAGGCCTTACTGCGGCGACCCTCTGGGAGCCCAAGCGGCATGCCAGTGAACAGCCGTTCCGGAGTGCGCCACGGGCCTCCCTCTTCCCACCTGCGCCCAGCAGCACACGCTTCGGCTCAGACACCAAGGGGCAAGCGGCCGGAGCTTCCTCCTCTGCCCCGGCCCCCGCTGCTTTCTCAAAGGAGCTGTGTTCGTGCTTCAGGCTGGGACTGGCAGCTCCCTCCATCGTCTGCACTCATCCAGTCCGGTCCAGCCTCTCGCCCGCCTCAGCTGCCTGCCCGGCCAGCACTGCCTGGCGCTCCCCGGACAATGCACAAAAGCCTTCTTGCAGTGGTGGAGCTCGCGCGGCTCCTCCGGGTGCTCAGACTGGGCCTGCCACAGATGCGCCCGCGGTCTCCCACAACTGGTGATCGTGCCAGTGTGCTCCCGCTGGTCTCCCCAGGTCCCGAAGGGCGCACGACGCCACCCCCCCTTCCCTGCTGCAGACGCCGTCAGATCCAGCTGCTCTCTGCAGCCAGATTAGGATGGGGGGAGCTCCACCCCCAGGCATTCTTGGCCCCGGAGGACCCTCCCCATTGATAGAATTCGCCTGCTTTGGGCAGCACAGCCACTTTGGTTCTGGCGTGACCCCTGTGACCGTAAGAGCTGCAGGAGAAGGAGAACGAGGCCGCATGTCCCCTCGCCTCCTCTCAAGGCGCACCAACAAGGAAAGCGTTACATGAGGCGCTACTCAAAGCATGCAGAGTGCAAGCGAGACGCATGCCGGCCGCTTCACCCACGACCGAGTCAGTCCTGCCCTTCTGCTCGCCTGTCTGCACTTTCCGCCAGCACCTCAATCCAGGGTAAGCATCACGCACGTTACAAAAGGCAACAAAGCCAAAGAGAGACACAAGGCCGAGCCGGGGGCGGGAGGATTGTCTGGGAGCACATCTGCCCAGAGAGAACAGGGCCGTTCCCGCCAGCCTTGGCCGAATCGCGAACAGGCCTGCTGCTTCGCCAGTCCAAGGCGGCCCGCTGAGGCCAGAGGCCCCCCAGGCGCCCACCGCAGCATGCGCGGCCGCCACGACCCCTGGCTCTCCTCACCTTCCTGCCTCTCTGTGCCAGCTGCCACAAAGCGCACGCCATACTCTCGCGCACACCTTCCACCCATCTGCTGCCACCAACCCTTGGCAGGAAGCGCCTCAGTAAAGATCAGGGCTGCAGGGGGCTGCTGCGGGGGGCACCGAGCCGGCTCCAGCCACTGTGCCGTCAGTCCTCCCCCTGGCAGGCCAGTCCGTGTGGCCACTGCAGGCTCCCCTGAGCACTTGACGCTCATTCAGCCTCCCCCCCCCATAGGTTCGTCCAGCACACCTGGAGGGGCCCCCACCCTGCTTAACCTCTTCTGAGTGGGCAGCGCCCTGGAAGCGCAGAAGGCTCCCAAATGGGTGCTGCATATATGAGGGCTGGGGGGGGGGGAACGGGCCAGTGACCCTTCCAAATCCTGGCTTAGGGTTTTCTGAATGAGCTTCCCATCCGTGCAGGCCGGCTATCACAGACTGGAGCTGCGCGTGGCCGGCAGCGTCTCCTGGCGCCTTCTCTTTGCGAGGGAGATGAGCGGATGGCTTTTCCTACCTGCCTTAAACGGTGACACCGGGAGGGGACTGCCATGTGGACCCTAGAAGCCCTGCTGGATCAGACCCTGGCGCCCCCAACCCACTGCCCCAGAAAGCCTATACGCAGGCTGCGAGCGAGCGGAGCGACCCCCCCCCCCCCCCCCCCCCCCCCCCCCCAGCAACTGGAGTAGGCAGCGCTCCTGCTGCTGCCCCCGAAGGCAGCCGGAGCCGCCAGGAGTCAGTGCTGTGTTGGCCTCATCTCCGTGAATCTGCCCGTTCCTCCTCCAAGCCTTCCAAGCAGGTGGCCACCCCCCCACCTGGTGGCAGTGAATTCCACAGCATAAGTGGGAGAGCCAGTGCGGTGGGTGGTGAAGAGCGGGGGACTGGGACTCAGGCGATCTGGGTTCAAGTCCCCGCTCGGCCATGGAGCCCGCTGGGTGCCTTGGGGCCAGTCACAGACTCCCAGCCCAACCTACCTCACAGGGCTGTTGTTGTGGGGATAAGATGGAGGAGGAGAATGATGTAAGCTGCCTTGAGCCCCGTGTAGGAAAAAGGCAGGATATAAATCGGAAAATAAATAAATAAACTCTGCACTGCTCAGAGAAGTCCTGGTTCTTCCCGAGAGCACGTGGGGTGCAGTTTCTGTTCCAGTTCCACACGCGCTTCCCTCTTCTCTTTCTCCACACCCTGCATCATTCGGTGTACCTCTATTGTGTCTCCCCAAACTTAAGCCTTTCCTCCCCCATCTTTGCATGGGGGGGGATCCTACCGGCTTGGGGGGGGGGGAGAAGGGAGCAGTTCCCGGGGAAGGGGACAAAAAAAGGGGGGGGGGTTCGCCTGGGCGTGCTCCCCCCCCCCCCCCCAGATTTGACTTGGGAGCAGAGGAGCTTGGGATTCTACACCACGAACCTCATCTCTCCCCCGCCTGGACATCTGTGAGCAAATGCAAATTAAGTGTGATCCCATAAGCCGTCCGGGATCAGGCCCTGTACCCTGGAAGCTTCTCACCATCTGGAGAAGCGGGACACACATCCATGTGTGAAGGAGACTTTTGGCTGCCTACCTGTCATCTTCTGTCAATCGCACTCACGGGGCAAGTCCAAATTCTAGTAAAAATTGCCAGAAAAATATATATACTAGCCCCGTGCTTGGCCGCCAGTCCACAGAGTTTGCAGAGTCTCCGGAGAAAGGCTGACCTTCCAGTGCTAAGAATAATCTTGGCTGCAGTGGCAGCTATGCGGAGCGGGGCTGCCCGAACATCGGGGCACTGCCCATGCCACTGGAAGGGCACCTAAAATAGCACGAGGGAACCCGGAGCAGCTCCACACGGCGTTAAACCAGAGACCGACATGCGGAGCCAGGCTGGCCTCTGCTCCCCAGTCACTGCCCTGCTGGATCAGACCGAAGGGGGTCCTCCCTGCCCGGGATTCTGCGCACAGTGGCGAGCAACTGCTCCTGGGACGCCCACGAGGAGGGCACGGGGGCAGCAGCACCCCCTGCACAGAACCGCGCTGCTTGTGGAGCAGGCCTTCCCTTCGCTGTCCCCAGGCTCCTGCCCACCAGGTTCAGGGCAGGCCAGCGTGAGACTGCTCCCCCTCCCCACTTTCTCCAGGCCGTGCATAATTCTGCGCTCCTCCATCAAACCCCCAGCTAAGAGCTCCAAACTTTGCCACCTTTCCTCGGGAGGGGGTCGACTGCCCCTCGATTATTCTTGCTGCCGCCGCCGCAGCTGTATCCTAATCTCCCGGAGGTACGGCCACGCAACAAAACATTGTGGCTCCACGTGGGGTTGCCCCACAGAATTGCATCAGATTTCTTTTCAGCTCTATGTCTACTTCTGGTCCACATGGACTTGCGTTTTCCACTGTGCTTTCTGCCGGGTCCACCGCCATGCCAAGATCGGCCGCCGTCAGCTCAGGCTGCATCCGCACGTGGACAGGTAAAGCTGTGCACCCCAACCGGCGTCACTTCACATATATTCTTTATTTACTTATTTTATACTGTTAATTTTAATTTTATATTATTATGTTTGTATCTCAGTGTAATTTTTTGTATTTTTGTATTTAGTGGTAATTTATTATGTTCTATTGTATTTCAATGTATTTTATTGTGTTGTAAGCCGCCCCGAGGTTTCGGCAAGGGGCGGC